GGATGCACACCTTCCCGACACGATTGCTGAAGAAAAATGTGAGCATAAGCAAAGGTGAAGAAAACTGATGGTGCCCAGCTACCATAAGATATAGCGTCTGGGGTCTTAAAGGCTTGAAGACAAACAAGCAGCCATCTAGCTGAGAAGCATCACAGCCCATATGGAAGAGGCCCAGCAGCCTGTCTGACCACAAGGTGTAGAAGGGATCAGACATCAAAGAACTGAAAATCACATCAGTGGGTGCCCGCTTTACTGACACAATCACTGAAGACAAACGTGTGCATAAGCAAAGGTGGTGAAGAGAGGTAATGGTGCCTGGCTACCACAAGATATAGCATCTGGGGTCTTAAAGGCTTGAAGACAAACAAGCGGCCAACTAGCTCAGAAACAACAAAGCCCACATGGAAGAAGCATACCAGCATGTGTGACCACGAGTTGTCGAAGGGATCGGGTATCAGGCATCAAGGAACAAGAAATCATGTCATTGTAAAGATGGGTGAGTGCAGTGTGGAGACTCAGAGTTCATCAGTAGGCAACTGAACAACCCCTTACTGAGGGGTTGTGGGGAGGAGATGAGCCAATCAGGGTGCAGGGTAGCAACGATGAAACATGTAACATTCCCCTAGTTCTTGAATGCTTCCTCCCCCCCACTATCATGATCCCAATTCTGCCTTGCAAATCTGGCTAGACCAGAGGATGTACATTGGTACAGATAGCAACTGGAAACACATGGAATCCAGGATCGATAACTCCTTCAGGACCAGTGGTGAGAGGGGCAGTGCCTGGAGGGTGAAGGGAATGTGGGGTAGAAGGGGGGAACTGATTACAAGAATCTAAGTACTGTATAGGTAAGACGGCCCCGTTAGGTAGCTCAGGTCTGGAGCTCCGAGGAGATTGGTGAATGGAGAGAGTTGGGGGTGGAGTAGGGTTACCAAATTTGTCTGTTCGATTTCCAAGACCACTCAGAGCATCTCTTGGACCCAGAGGTGGGCTCCCACCCATAGCCAGGGCTCCACGCACCCGTTCTACCGGGACTTGTGCCACAAGGCAGCTAGGTGCACCATGGATGCTGCGCCCGCCCACCTCGGCGCTCCGCGCAGAATAGCCAGTCAGGAACCCCCACCCTGCCTCAGAGAGCCCGGGGTCTATGTGTGTGCTCCAACCAGAAACCACCCCCCCCCCCCGCAGATTTGGGCCCCACCCAAGCACCCCTCACGGTCCAACAGGCCACACTCACCCACCCCTTCTCCTCAGAGGCGTGCGCCTGGCGCCACAGCCAGGCAGAAGGCAGAGTCTGAGGACCTGCCTCTGGGCTCTGCGCAAACCGCCAATCAGACCTTTCCGCATGCTCAGGTCACAGCCCAGATGAGCGCGCCCCATCACTGCACTCCTTGCAGATCCGCCAGCCAGCCCCACTCCCTGGGCCTCCCAACCCACCCGCTCCCCTATACGCGCGCACCACGCCTGTGCACGGGGAGGCACACACACACACACACACACACACACACACACACAGATCTGCATCCTGCCACACCGCTG